AATGAAGCGGTGATCATTATCTCTGGCTTTACCTTGAGCTTTCTCAGTGCCGTATTTCTAGAGCCGGTAAAGCTTCAAAGTTTCAGTAGCAGGTCAAATTCTGAATGCATTACTGACATTCTACTAGAAAGCAGTACAAATGAAGCAAGGACACCTTTTCTAGGATATTAACCATGGGACGGATTTCTGCTTGTCCCACACCTATTGAGGACACAGAGCCTCCTGAATTTGTTAGTCTTCAAGGTATATTTTTTGGCGGGGGGGAGGGACAGGATGCATGCATATTTGACTGGACTGCAATACTTTTTTTCAACTGCATGTCCCCCATCCCTAAGAAAACTTCGGGGAGCCAATTGATTTTTATGCAATACCACAGAGAAATAGCTGCGTTCTTCCCTGCTGGATTCCCCAGTGGAAGCTGAGGCCCACGCACCTGTGTTGAAAAATTACTAACTATTCTGCCACACGGCGAAGAAAAATATAGTTTCAAAGTCTGTCTCTCTCGACTGGGGGGGGGAGGGGGCTGAGCAGATCCTACTGTCTCCAAACTGCCCTATAGTTAAGCCAGGCGTCCTCTCCATCTTGTTTCTCTTCTGGGACTCAAATCCCCGTGGTTTACGTTTTTAGCTGGAAGTGGATGAGCCAAAGCGGCTTTCGAGGGACTCTAGTCTCCATTTTGGCTTCATTCTCGCGGCAAAAGGAGCGCCGGCCTTTCTCCTCTGAGGCGAAAGTGTCGCCGGTCCCGTTAGAAGACGCGGCGGCTTCTCTCACGCAGATTCGCCCCTCGCGCTTTCGTCCTTCACCGAACGTAGCGAAACATTTCGACCAGGGCCACCTCTCGCCCACAAGGCGTCATGACACCAGGGCGCATCGCCAAGTCCCCGAAACGACGCGCCTTTTTCCTGTCAGCCTGGGAAGAATCTGCGAGGACGGAAGCGCAGACTCGCTTCCCTTCATAGGGCTCCAGCGGCCATTTCGGAACCGCCGATTCGCCCCGAGGTAGCGCTCCGCGGCAACGCTGGGAAAACTTCCAAAGCGCCGCCGAGTGCCCGAAAGCCTCTCGCGAAACGTGCCAGCGTGCTCGGAGGGCTCGCGGTGGGAAGCGGATTTTTTTCCCGCTGTCGCTTGCATCGAAAGTACCGATTCGAGGAACAAAAGGCGATCCGGCCGGTCTTGCGCGGAGGCGGAGGCGGAGAGAAGAGAGAGAGAAAGGAGCGCGAATCTCGCGAGCTCTGACGCGGGACGCTCTCTCCTGTGTGCGTTGGCCCCGCCCCCTGGTCCCTGTCGGTGGCGGTGGAAGCGGCGGCTTGTCACCCTTTTTCCCCCCTTCCCTCTTTTCTTCTTTCCCCCCTCCCCTCGTCCTTCCCTCACAGGGCGCGAGGCGGAAAGGCAAGACGAGCGGCAGAACGCGAGGCGCCGCCGGGGCGCGAGGCCGAACCGGAGGAGGAGGGGGCCGCGCGTGCGCCCCCTTGAGCGGAGGAGGGGGGAGGAGCGGGTAGGAACAGGTGACGCGCACGGGGGACAAGGGGGCGCAGCGCGAGACACCCCCCCGAATGGCGCGGGAGGGGGGACGCCGCGAAGCAGCGGCGCGCGGCTGAGTGACGGGTGTGTTGGGGTGGGGGGGCGCGCACGGAGGAACGAGCGCGCATCTGGTGGGCGGGGCCGGGGATACCTGATGGGGAGGGGAAGACCCTTAGGGGGGAGGAAGGGGGGGTTGAGGAAGGGGGGGGGAAGTTGGGAATGGGAAGGTTAAGGGAAGGTGTAATTATTTGTGGGAGGGGGGAATAGCCGAAATGGGGTCCAGGGAGGAGGAGGTGCAGAGAAGAGAAAGAGCCCCTCAGGGGTGATGGCGGGGCAGGACCGGGTGCCGGGTGAGGGGGAGAGAGAGAGAGAGAGAGAGGCGGGATCGGTTCCCTCAGAGAGAAAAAATCGTTCTCACGTGCACAGAAGGTCGTGTTTCTTCTTCCCTCCTGAACAAGGGAAGAGAGAGGTTGTTGTGGAAGTTGGCTACCTTTCTAAGAATGGGGTACTGTAGTGTGGACGACTCTGGTGAGGAGGGTGACAGAAAAGGGGAGCTTTGGCATGAAAAGCTGTGAGGAACCATTTGGTCAGAGGGGGAGGGACAATTTTGAGGGTTTCTGTCAAAGGATCTTTCTCAAAGTACATCAGGGTTGATCCATGCCTCCAGTCAGCCCCCACCCCACCCCCCCAGGCATCCTCCCTTCAGCCAGTCTTACTTCACCCCTCTTCATAGAGTTTGTGCCAACCGTTAAACTGAGTGTCAGGTGTATAGGGGGGAAAAAAGCTAGCATGTATTTAGAAGAGCTAGGATGAGGTAAGAGCTGTCTCTTGTGGCCTTGGGGAGCTCAGCAATACTAATATGATAGCAGTACTAGTGGGAGAACAATATTCTATAGCGGTGGTTCTCAACCTTTTTAATGCCGCGACCCCCCCAACCGGTCGTAAGTCGAGGACTACTCAACTGGTGCAGCACCGTTTGCAGAATGGGACTTTTGGCAGGCTCAGCAGGGCAGAGACAGCCTGGACAATTCCTATTGGCTTTTGAAAGCCATTAGAATTAGACTCTATTCAAGAGAGTCTATTCTATTGGCTTTCAAAAGCCAATAGAATAAAAGGGAGTAGCACAGCTAAGGAAAAGGGGGAAAAAATGGTGGACTGCGTTTGGCGACCCCCGTGAAATGGTCGTTCGACCCCAAATGGGGTCCCGACCCACAGGTTGAGAACCACTGTTCTATAGAGACAGGACACTGGAAATCAAAGATAAGGGTGGAGAAGGGAATAAACCAAATTGTGGAGATATTGGGAGGTTAAGGAGAAAGAGATGGTATCTTCCTTGTGGAGATGGGGAAATTATCTAAGAGAATTATTTGAGAAAGGCAGGAAATTGGAAGCGACCCTTCTCTGTAAGATAAGCATCAGGAAATTAGAACTATTGTTAGCAAACACATAGATTGAGGGTCTTAACTACAGAAATAGGGAGTAAATACTTGAGATAGAAACATTCTAGGTATAGACTGAGGAACTGAAAGGAGGGCAAACCTTTGTCAATAGGCTTTGTAGGCTTAAGAGAATATTATGTTTATGCTATTTATTATTCCCTTGGCAAAAGAACAAAACGGGGGGAATTTTCCCCACAGGAAATTTTATAACATAGCTTAGCTTATTGTTTATGGGTTTAGCTTGCTCCATTTTGTTTGATTATAAATAATATCTGTAATGTTCAATTTTTAATTATTTGAATAATTTGGTTTATTTTTTTTGTAACATAAATTTCTTCATATGGAAGTTCAAATCTGAGTCCTCATATCTAGATTTAATTTATCATCAGAATTTTGCACATAAAATCAGGATGGTAAAATACTACATCGTGAAAATATTTCAGAATTCGTGTTTGAATCCCTCATGAGAATTCATGTTGCTTGCTTTTTAAAACACTTTTCTGCTTTCTTCCTAGTCTCTTAGATGTTCTGTTTCAAATTATGGATTGAATCAACTCTTACCTGGTTTTATTGAGAAGGAGAAAAATATACGTGTATAGCTATACGTTGAAATTTACCAGTAGTTTGACTACAGAAGAGATCATCTACAACAGGTTTAAGTTTATTCCTTTCTTTTACTGTGATATAATTTCTATGTATTCTGAGATATGTACGCTTGTCCTAATGCAGGGGTAGTCAACCTTGGGTGTCCTAATGCAATTAGCAGAGCAGAATGTAAGTTACAAGGGTTTCCAAGATTGCATTTCTACTTAAAATGAATTCAATATTTTCATCTGGCAGATTATGAATACGTTGACACAAAAATTTGATTTAGGGTCAAGTGAAAATGAAATAAATTAAAACATAGGAATGTTTTTTTTTTAAAAAATGATAATTTTATAATATTGTGGCATATACTGCTATGAGGTTTTTCCCAACAGGTTTTGGTCAGACATCTGTCTACATTACTTCAGTTCTAGAATGTTTTGAGTCAGGGATGGATATCTGCATAGAGGAGATATCCCATTTCTAAATACTTCCATAAGGCAATATTATATTTTTATTAAAGAATCATTATTTTTCTGACTTTCAAGAACTTTTTGGCATCTGCGTATTTTTCTTTGTTTCTTCATATAACAAAGGTCCCATCTTTGATCCTTTTTCAATTTCTGAGATTGCACATTGTTTGCTAACCAAATATTTCTTCATAATCATTAGAAATAGAGGTTTGCTTTTCTTTTCAGAAAAAGATAAATAGAAAAACTCTGAATGTTCTTGTTTTAACACTTTTAAGTAAATTTCTATGTGCTACATTTTGCAGAATCACTCTGCCTACAAACAAGTAAGACTATAGAATCACAAGTCCAGGCAGTTCTGTTCTAAGTATATTCAATTACATTAGCTTTGTACTGTAGGCTACAAGCCTTGATTAGTATAAATATGCCCACTGGTTCCTTGAAAATGACCCCAGCTTTTAGTGGTCTGTTCTAGTCCAAAGTATTGTATATTTTGCATTGAGACAATTATGGTAAACTGACCGTAGAATGATAGACAAAGAATATCAAAGTAGGACTTGACATTTAGTAGCACTATTCAGGGAAAGAGTGAGCAGGTCCATAAACCAGGCCTTCTAACTTAGGATGTTGTGTGAACACAGCAATTAGGGTTCAGCTATTTTCAAAGTCAGCTTTGCACAGTCAGATACTTTGGCATAAGCCACTGAGCCTTCTGAATTCAGTAAATAGCACTGGGAATGTTAAACAGATCTTGAAATAGATGCAGGAGAAATTTTGTGAGCGGACTGTTTCATGGTGCTTAATATTAAAACTTCTGGTTCCTTTATATACAGAAAGATATCCCTAGACGGTGATTCTGAGTATGAAAGTTTCAGAGGTGGATGGCAGTAGAATTTCTCATTGAAATTACTTCTGTTGGAAATAAACACATGATTTAATATATTCCTTTGATTCCATGTGCATCCTGCAGTGTAAATGAGTCAGAATGGATCAGGAAGGTGGGGGTGACTTCCAGAAAGCCCCTAACTTCCAGTGGAGAAACTACAAGCTCATCGTTGATCCTATGCTTAAGGATGGCCCGCACAAGATCTACCGCTATGACGGAGTGCATTTCAGCACTAATGTAAGTGGACAGTATTGGATTTTTTTATTTTTTTACCAAATTGTAAAGCATGTGAGTCATTCCTGCTGAGGATGGATGGTCTAATGTTTGGCAATATCTCTAGGTCCTCTTTTATATCTTTTCCACCTTCTAATATTGCTTCTCCTGTTTTCTTCATGCACTGTATTTTGCTGAGTGTTAACATTTTAGTTTGCTTTCCATCTTAGATGAGAGTAGATCCAGTGTAGTGTGTCACAAATCTTTGGATGAGTCAGCTTCGTACTGATCCTTGTCCTTTTTCATGACTGCCACAGGCTCCCCATTCCCTACTGCTCTTTTTCTGTGTGTGTCTTTATAGTTTTAGATTATGTAAATTAGCTAAGGCAAAAATCTGAGTGCTTTCCATCGTTTTCAAAAGGGCCATTGCCAAAGATTCTAATATTTCCTTCTGTCATATTGAGGTTGGCTTTTAGGAGCATCATTTACGCGCCACCACTTGCCAATTTTGATAATGTTTTGTACTGTCTAGCATGCGCCAGATTTCTTCTGGCTAGTGAAACCTGGCTAGTGGACCTTGTGTGCTGTCTGTGATAAAGAAACCTGTGGTTCATCTGAACCTGTTGATAGTCTAGGAATCCAAAAAAGGTGGTGATTTTAGTGAGGGGTAAGATAGGAGGGAGTGGATTTAGACTAGGCTTTTGCTTAAATCTCATAGTTGCCAGTGATTTTCTTAGCGTGTTAAGCATTTAACTCCACTGAAATCAACAGGAGTTCAATTTACTTTTCTAACACGTGCTGATCATACGTTTTTCTGTATAGACTACGAAGGCAAAAATTCCAAGAATGTTTCTTAGAAAGTTAGTTTCTGTGTATTTTAACTTATTACGGGAAGGGCATTATAATTAAGGCTTGTGAAACAGTGCTGATATAATACTGAAGGCACAAGCCTGTTTATTCATATTCTGTACTGTGTAACAGCAAATGGGGAAGTTCAGGACAACCATATTTTCCTTTCTAATTAAAACAAGAGACACGCCCCGAGTTCCATAAATAAGATTCTCTGTTAGTTTTTAAGGTTCCAATCTATACTTAATAAGAGCTATCATAAAAGAAAAATGGCTTCCTTTGAAGATATTCTTAGAAATGGGAACAGGCTTTGAAGCACTGTGAAAATCACAGTCCTTGTTTCTTAGTTGCTAATCATGCTTACATATTTTCTCTTTTACACACTAAAAGGATTTTACACAGGGGTGTCAAGTTTGCAATGCCACGTGACGTGTCACGACGTATCGCAACTTTTTTTGCCATTGCCGGCAATGGGGTGGGCGTGGTTTCGCTATGATGCCTCCAGCCCGCGGGCCGGCAGTTTGACACCCCTGCACTAAGCCATCCATGATATAATTATTTGTTGATCCTTAACATTGTCTTCTTCTGCATGCTGTTCTTCTAATTTCCTGAAAAGGAAATATTTTGAAATTCCACTGAAATATAAAATATATTCCACTGTAATCTGGATCAAATTGAGTTATGCAAATATTTTCAGTCAAAATATTTGCATCATGAAACCTTCCATTTAAATATCTGAATTCCAGTGACATCTTACTATGAGTTCCCAGTATTAAAACAAATAGTTCAGGTTGTGAAATAAAGACTATCGCAGTCTATTTTAAGGTCAGTATAGTTAGCGTAGGATTGGAATGTTTAAATTATGCTTGATTTGTGGGGAAAGTATTATTGAGAAGAATCCAGAAATAAATTTATCCAGTATTTAATGTAATTGGATAGAGGTGTGTGAAATGCTTTGAGCCCAACATTTCATGAAATGGCTTATGTTAAGCACTATGGAAATGTTTTAACTCTGGAAGCTCAAAATACTTCTAAAAAGCAACAGACTATATTGCACTCAGCATAGGACATTTCACAATTTGTGGTTGAAACATTTTGCATATCCCTAGAATTGGAACACTACTTTCTTTTTTCTAAATTTTATTTCTTTTTTTCCCTTCTGATATACTGTGTTTGAAGTTTGAATGAACTTATTTTCTGATAACTCAGCTTTGGATGTTTGTCTGATTTTGCCTGAATATTTTTTTTTAAAAAAAATATTATTCTACTTCTGGATTAGGCAGATGATAATGTGAATATAGAGTCATGTAAATCACATACATCTTTAATTTTTCTTAAATTCTTAATGCCAGTTTTAGCTTTAGCACTGTACAGCACAAACAAATTCAAAAGAACTCAAAAAAAGCCCACATTCTGTCATTCAGAAGGATATCAAGCTACTGTCTCCTTGAAATAAGATGCAACTTGAAGTGGAATGAATCTTTTTGTACTATTCGTTTCTTCCCTTCCTGTATAGAATGTTAGTTTCACATTCACTGTAGCCAGTGAGGTTTTGCTTTATTAAACCCTACTTTGTCTGGGCTTGCCCCTAAGCAGCAGAACCAATAGTGACAAAAATCATTTCAAAGACATTCAGATCCTGGAAAGGAAGTCATTCTACTGTGATTTTTAAACCTTTTTTTCAAGGTTTGTATTAGTACCATATAATTCACATTTGTGAGTCCATGTATGGGTAATACTTGACTTATGACCACAATTGTGACCTAAGCTTCCCTTGCCAAGTGATATGGTCATTAAGTGAGTCATGCTTGATTTTATGACTTTTTTTTGCTGCAAATGATAATTTATTGATATGTTGCCCATCTCAGAATATGAATCTAGATGATGTACGATAGATAGGTTTATGTTTTAATTGTTTAATGACTTTAATTGTAGTTCTGTTTTTAATATGCATCCCCTAGAATCAGATTTGTGAAATGGGCAACTATATTAATTTGATAAAAATTGAGAAGTACTTTAATGCCATTTTGTCAATAAGACTTTTGAATGACCACTGCTTTCTAATCTTTTCTCAAGGATTCAAGTCATGCTCCTGTAAAAGTTGTGCAAGATCCGAGACATAGGAAATGGTCCAAAACCAGAGATCTTTCTCTTCCTGTCCCAAAGTTTAAGGTAAACTACACTTACTTGATTATAGATCATTTTTCTCCAGTTCTCTTAAAGCTTCCAGATCCATTAGCACAACATCAGTATCACACCTGTATTTCTTGAAAATACATTCTGGGATTTCCTTGCCTTTCTAAAGATTTCCTCAGGATAAAGAAGATTGGAAGATAAGAGTAAGTTGATAGGGAAACTGAGTCCTGCCAGTTTAAACAGTATGCATATATGTTCTACTTCCTTCGACATTGATGCTGAAAAATAAGATAGTATTAAAGGAGATTACCACAGATCTTTTATAAAAACTAAAATTCTCACCACCGGGGGTCAGATTTGAATAGCAAGAACAGTAACAGTGGCTCCCAGAAGAACAGACCACATTGCTGCATTTTGTTAGACTTTCTGTATTACTTTTGAGTGCATTTTGGTGAAATATCAGTGGATAATAACTGTAAAAAATAAAAGAAGAAGAGAGTTTTCCAAAGAAGTGCAGGATATCTTCAGAAGTTGTAAATAAAGGATATTCAAAAAGTATGTCTGGGTATATATAACGGTCTCAATTTTAGTGGAAATTACTGCCAGGGAAATGGTAATAAATTATACTTGAAATAATATGACCTGGGATTTAAGTGGAGAAATGTCTGCTTCATCTACTTGAAGGACCAGAGATCTGGACCTAGCTGATCAAAGAACTGTGATTTCTGAGTCTATCCTTACCAGCATTTTTTTTTAACTTTTGCCAACTGCCAGTTGAATATTTTCTTAATTTTTGGTATGTAACTTACTAGAAGTTGATTTTAGCTTCCTTATCCCACTTTGCCTTCTGTCATTGCTGCAGCTAGATGAGTACTATGTAGGCCAGATCCCTCTGAAGGAGGTGACATTTGCCCGGCTCAATGATAATATCAAGGAATCTTTTCTGTGTGAGATGTGCAAAAAATATGGCGACATTGAGGAGATTGAGATTCTGTATAATCCAAAGAATGGCAAGCACCTGGGCTTGGCCAAGGTGCTCTTCACCAGCACAAGGGGGGCGAAGGAGACAGTCAAGAACCTGCACAACACTTCAGTCATGGGCAACATCATTCATGCCCAACTTGACATCAAAGGTAATGATCTTCCTTTAGTCGCCCTCCTAATTTAGCATCATCTCCCTGATTTTAAACGGCACTTGCTTCCTACCAACCGCTTTTTTTTGTTTGTTTGTTTATACAGGTCAACAACGCATGAAATATTACGAACTGATTGTGAATGGCTCTTTTACACCTCAGACTGTCCCAACTGGGAGCAAAACGTTGAATGAAAAGTTTTCAGCTGACTCGGTAACTTTAGAAAATGTATTTGAATCTACTGGATTAGTTCAGTGTCCCTTTTTCTTCAAAAGGTCTCCCCTGTAGGTTTTCCTCTCTGTTTTAAGATTTGCTTAACTGTTTGATCGCCCAATAAGGGAGAATTTCTTACTAACTTCTGCTTTCTTGATACAGCCCGGATACGGCTCCCTTCTCTTTGCTGAACTGCATTCATTGCCCACCTGCAACTCTACCTGTGTCCTGTAGGTAGTTGCTGATGCCTTGCTTTAGGCAGCTCAATCTTCAATTTTGCCATGTGTACATTTTGGTAAATAGCCGAGTAGTAGCCGAGCTTAAAACAACTGTTATGTGTCATCTAAGACAGATGCTTACATGTTTGGCACGAGCCACTTGGCTTTGCATTGCATGCGAATTTTAGCTCTGGGCAAGAAGAGATGTCAAGTTTCTGTCCACATGATTCCTTTTACAGTCCGAGTCACGAAGACACCATTCGACCAATTCGTTGTACCCGAGTAATGCAATGCCTTCAACGCCTGGCAACGGCACCCCTTGTTCTCAGGACACTCCGTACTCCAGTGGCCGACAAGACACACCTTCTTCCTATGGCCAATATACACCACAGTCTCAGGGGACTCCGTATACCCCTCGGGGAGGAACGCCGTATTCACAGGATTCCGCCTATTCTAGCAGGTAAGGGTTTCTCTCCCCCCTCCCCCTTGTGACAAGATTTGGGGAAACGATCTTAAATAACATGTTAACTTTTCAGAGTAAGTTCATGGGGGAGCGGGAGCAGAAAGGAAGGGCAGGTGCTCATGGAACTGTTTCTTTTCCTCTCCAAGGCAAGGGACCCCAGGCTACTCAAGCTACCAGCCAGAGTCGTACAAATCCTCTCGGCATGAGAACAGCTTTTCGGACTCGTACTTCCGCCGGCACTATACTTCATCCTCTTCATCTTCTTCATCTTCCTCCACTCACTATCGCAGCAATGACCATCATTACCCCCCTTACAGTCAGCAGTTTGGTGGTGGTGGCGGCGGCGGCAGCAGCGGCAGCAGCAGTAGTGCAGCTCCAACCAGTAGTAGCCGATATCAGCGCCTCTCATCCACCTCAGGGCGCTCTTCTTCTTCCTCCTCCTCCTCCTCCTCCTCTCATCGCTCTCATCCAAGAGAGGACTCTGGCTTCCATTCCCGACACAGAGAACGTTCTCAACGGGATGATTCTACTCTTTCGTCCACAGTGACCACCACTACTCCTTCCACCTGTGTTGTCGCTGCGGCTTCCTCCTCCTCCTCGTCGTCTGTGACAACGGCATCAGAAAGCATTCAGTTCCAGAACAGTCATGGTTTTGCCCAGCAGAGCGTGGAGCATTTCCCAGCACCCAGTGTGCTCTACCCATCTTACACAGCCACCCCGGAGCCCTTCTCTGTGCCTGCAGAATCCCACGCGGTGGATCAGGATTATCGGCTGCTCCCCACGGCAGAAACGTTTGCAGCCAACTCCCTGCCTCCCACCGAATTTCTTGCTCAGGAAACGAAAGAGAACGCCAGTCCAGCAGTGACCGTAGCCCTAGGGGTTGACGACCGATCCCATTCGCCTGCTGTGCAGAGCTCGCCAGCCCGCTCTGGTTCCCCTGCCCCAGAGACTACCAACGAGAGTGTCCCCTTTGCTCAGCACAGCAGCTTGGACTCCCGCATTGAGATGCTGCTAAAGGAGCAGCGGTCCAAGTTTTCTTTTCTTAATTCAGATACGGAAGAGGAAGAGGAAGAGAAAGGGGGGTCCAAGGAAGCAGAGCCACATGGCCCCTGCACCCCGCCACCACCTCTTCCAGTCAGCTTTGAAGATGTGGTGCCAGCCCTGGATGCGAGAGTAGGAGACGAATCCCCAAAGGCTAATGGGCAAGACAGAGTAAGTTTTTGGGGTTTGGAATCTGCTTTTTGTTTTGCTTAATAGAATTGATCTGAGCGCTTCTCTGTTGACAGTCTCTGAACAAGCAATCTTCTGGGGCAGAACAGTACCATTCACACAGAAGAATGTTTCAGGGTTGATGTCTAAGGAAGCTTGCTAAAGTACAAGTGTATTTTTTTTTTAAAGGATCTAGGGCAGTGGTGGCAAACCTTTTAGAGATCGAGTGCCCAAACTGTAACCCAAAACCCACTTATGCATCGCCGGGTGCCAGGCGGGCGTGGCCACCAAGTGGGCATGGCCACCGAGTTGTTGGCTCGTGCTCGCTCGCTGTCCGCTCCGACTCGTGCTCGCTCTCTCGCTGTCTGCAGCAAATGCTGCTTCCACCAAAAGTTGCTCCTTTTATAGCCTCTCGCCTATTCCCAGACTGCGCATGTGCGGAGAGCTGCGCATGCGCAGAAAGGAAGAGGGAACAGCTCGGCCCAGCAATGGCTTGCGTGCCACCAAAGACGGCTCCGCGTGCCGCCTGTGGCACGCGTGCTCATAGGTTCGCCACCACGGATCTAGGGTAAAGCCCCTAAATGGGCCTGTAAAAATAGTAAGTTTAGTGCCCAAAGAATATTAGGAGAATAGAATGGAGCAGCCCGAAGAAGCTTCTTGGATGAGAAGCGAAACATCTTCAAAGAAAAACAAAAGTCCAGTTGCCTCTTGAAAAAGCACCTTTGGGACAACCATGGCCTGGATGACTGAGAATCTCTGCAATTCTGAACACAAGCCCACTAGATCATAATATGCATAGGTGTACTTTTTCCCTGTCTGCGTGTATTGAAAACTTTGCAATTTTAAGTACATACATGAGTTATTTTAATAGTATGTCAGCTTAATTTACATGCCTGTCAGATGGTAATTTGGTTGACCTTGCAGATGATCAATTCTTGGGAACTTTCAAATGGGTTGTTTAACCAGACACTGTTTAGAACTAGAAATCAGACTAGTCATCTTTCTGTAATCAAGCACTTTAAAGTTTAGCAGACGTGGCTCTGTTTGTCTTGATTTTTAAGCTGAGAATATCAGAAACTTCATTAGATTGGGCAAGTGAGGAGAATGCAGGAATGGGGAACTCATATTTTGCAAGCTGCAAGTGAGAGTTGATTGAGCTGCGTTCAGGCAAATAGATTATCTGCCTAATTAATTCACACTAGCACTTTCTTTGCTGTTGTCTTTCCTTCCAATTCTTAAATCAGGCATCTCAGCAGTCTTCAGGTGAAGACATGGAAATTTCGGAAGATGAAGCCGAAGTTGAGCCCCCAACTCCCGTGGCAGGGGTGTCCGACCCACATTTTTCTGTGATGCCATCAGTTCTGGGCCACATGCAGTTGGGGGTGTCCTCCTTTACTTCCCACCATCACCCAGAAGCACCGCCCTCTTATCCAATCCAGCCTCTCATGTCCGTCTCCCTCCCTCACCTGGCGGGTAAAACCCATTCACTCTCTACTTTTGGCCAAGTCAGTCCCCGGCACGGTCATCGCCTGTCCGATTTCAGAGGGCGAGCAAATGTGGTAGGTGGAGGCCGTGGTGCTCCCCACATCTATGACTTTGTCAACTCCATGGAGCTCATGAACCGGCTTGGCAACCAGTGGGGTGGGATGCCCATGTCTTTCCAGATGCAAACCCAGATGCTGAGCCGCCTTCAACAGCTGCGGCAAAACAAAGGCCAGTTTGAGGACCCTTTCTCCTATCACCGGGACGTGGCTTCTTTCTGCGGCCGCCCTCTGTATGGCGCTGGGTACTTACTGGAGCAGGGCAGTCACCCCTTCCAGCGGGACCAGCTTTTCATGCAGCAGCCATCAGCCGTTGGGACCTCAGAGCAGCAGCAACAGCAGCAGCAGCAGCAACAACAACATTCCTCAGAGCAGCCACCTCTGCCACCTCCCCAGCAGCTGCTTGATTTCCGGACAGCTCCATGGGGATATCAGGAAGAGGTGGCCCCGCTCCCACCGCTTCCTGAAGATCCACACGCCTCTGTGGTGGACACTGTCCTCGCAACCCTCATGCAGGAGATGAAGAGCATCATGCAGCGAGACCTCAATCGCAAGATGGTGGAGAATGTGGCCTTCAGCACCTTTGACAAGTGGTGGGAGTGCAAAGAGGAAAAGGCCAAGGTGATTTTGCGGAAGGGGAATGAAAAACACGGGTCACCACCCATCTGAGGCAAATTGGAAGGAAATGGGAGATAGGTTATCTGTTTGTGTACAGGTAGTCCTCGACTTACAGCAGTTCACTTAGTGACCATTCAAAGTTACAACGGCACTGAAAATTGTAACTTGTGACCATTTTGCACACTTATGACTGTTGCAGCATCCCTATGATTTGCGTTCGGATGCTTGACAGTTGGTTCACATTTCTGATGATTGCCCAGTCCTGGGGTCAGTTGATCCCCTTTTGCGACCTTCTGACAAGCATAGTCAACGGAGTAACCAGATTCACCCAACAACCAGGTTACTAACTTGTCAACCACAGCGATTCGCTTAAGAACTGTGGCAAGAAATGTTGTAAAATAGGACAAAGCACATTTCTCACTTAGCAACATAAATTTTGGGCTAAATTGTGGTTGTTAGTTGAGGACTACCTGTATTGTCTATTTGAGTAGTTTGGCAGTATTGGGGATGGATGGATGGATGGATAGATAGATAGACAGACAGACAGACAGACAGACAGACAGATAACCCAAATAACTCTTCATATGTTTTACATCTTTAATGATGGGTTTGGGTTTCTAAAATTATGGATACAACATTACCAAGGAAATCAAAGAGCAGTGATGGTCTTCAGATGGGAAAGTCTTCTTGAGCCGTAATATGGTTTACTTGGAAATAGCTTTCTTATGAACGTAACAGTTATGCTTTATTGCACCAAAGCAGCCCATATGCCCCAGTAGGTGAGGATGATTGTGAGCTGTAGGATAGTTTGAAATAAAGGTAGGCAACAGTATAGAGAAACTGAACACCAGCCTTTATAAGAAGAAAGCTATTTCATGATCTTTGAGTGACATTAATAAAAATAGTTTTCAGACTGTTATAAAAAAAACTGTAGTTCTGTAGGCCAGCTTACTACTTTGAAAGACTCTTCGGTTGTATACACTCCTTCCCCACACCCAGAATGCTGCTTTCTTCCCCTCTGCCCCTAATCATTCCCACTAATGCTGCCATCTTATTGTCTTTAGCCTTTCCAGAACACTGTTAAACAGCTAGCCAAGGAAGAGGAGAAAGACAAAACCAAACTGAAAGATCCCGCCCTTCTGTCTCTAGTGGACTGGGCCAAGAGTGGTGGGACTGGTGGCCTGGAGAGCTTTGGCTTTGGGACTGGCTTTCGAGGAGTCCTCAGGCTCCCCTCCTTCAAGGTAAAAGGCCCAGGGTCTCCTCTGGGGCTGGAAGCCTGTTCAGAAAGCTGTACAGGAATGGAAATCCTGTTTCTTAAGGGGCAGATTTAGTTTGACTGCCATCTGAAGCGTGGGGCTCTACTCGGGAAACCCACTGTTCCCTTTTGCCACAGGTGAAAAGGAAAGAGCCCTCTGAAATCTCCGAGTGCAGCGAAGTGAAGCAGCCCCGCCCCTCTACTCCTGCGGAAGAGGATGAGGAAGGTAGGTTGCCTCACCTCCAGATCGTTGTTTATACGCTTTGACCTTCAGCAAAAGGATGGCTTTTTTATAATAATAATAATAATAATAATAATAATAATAATAATAATAATAATAATAATAATAATAATAGCAGTAGTAGTAAAATTGGAAGGGACCTTGGAAGTCATCTAATCCAACCCCCTGCTCAGGCAGGAAACCCTACACCATTTCGGACAAATGGCTGTCCAGTCTCTTCTTAAAAACTTCTAGTGTTGGAGCAGTCACTGCTTCTGGAGGCAGGTTGTTCCACTGGTTAATTGTTCTCACTGTCAGGAAGTTTCTCCTTAGTTCCTCTCCTTGATTAGTTTCCATCCGTTGCTTCTTGTCCTGCCCTCATGTACTTTGCAGAATAGCTTGACTCCCTCTTCTTTGGGGCAGCCCCTGAGATATTGGAACACTGCTATCATATCCCCCCCTCGTCCTTCTCTTTATTAAACTTGACCTACCCAATTCCAGCCACCGTTCCTTATATGCTTTAGCCTCCAGTCCCCTGATCATCTTTGTTGCTCTTCTCTGTACTCTTTCTAGAGTCTCAGCATTTTTTTTACATCATGGTGACCAAAACTGGATGCAGTATTTTCTTACAAAGCATCAGTATCCTTTGCTTTAGCCAGGAAAGCTCCCATGATCTGAATAAAAACCAGGCTGTCCCTGCTCTCTGCTTTACAGTCTGAATAGGTGTGATGCCCCTTGGCTGCAGCAGGAAATGGAGATGGCAATTCCTTGGTGTCTCTTCCTTCTTTCTTCATTTTCCCTCTCTGTTCCACTCTGCAGATAAAAAATCCTTACAGATCCCCAAGATCTCCAAGAGGGACGACGAAAGGATCAAAGGTCCAGGAAAGCGGCGAAAACTTTTTTGCCTGGACAGTGAAGGAGAGGAGGCCTCTGAGGACTCATCCTCGGAGAAGGTGAGAGGAAGCTTAACATTGTTTTGAGTTGCTCCTGCCAGCATTGCGCTCACGTACTCTTGATATTTGTTGGTCTTCCATGTATAATTAGCTCCCACCACAAATTAGCTTGGAAACCGTTTGAATTAATATGTGTAACAGAAGGCTTATTGACCTCTAGATCCCAAGTTACCCTTATGTGTTTGGTCAGATGGCGTGTTGATTCTCAGGAGAACCTTAACGCCTTTCTTTTCACGCTTCTCCAAAAAAGCCTCTAAAAAAAAAAAAGGTTTTCATGCAGAATTCAGAATAATTCTGCAAGATTTAAATGTCGTTTAGATCAGGGGTCCCCAAACATTTGGGCACCAGGGACCGGTTCCGTGGAGAGAGGTTTTTCCGTGGACTGGAGAGTGTGTGGTTTTGTGTGCTGCCTGCATCCCACGGATGGGGCTTCGCTTGTTTGTGCAGACCAGTTGTGGCTCGGTACCGGTCCACGGACCTGAGGTTGGGGACCCCTGGTTTAAATTAATCTACTGCTCTGTGATTTGGGAATTCTAGCCAGATTTTGCTATGGATGCGTTTTGGGGGATGAGTGGGGTAATGGGCTTGTCCTTGAGGAACTTTATGTCACTTTCTTCCTAGGAGGAGGAAGAAGAGCGGCACGAAGAAGATGAACAAGGCGCCAGAGGACGCAGCAGAAAGAGGGAACAATCTGAAGGTATTTTTTCAGTTAATAATTAATTGATGGGACCTCATTAGACGACATACATGGTGACGTGCCATGATCTGCATCAGGGGTTCTCAACCTTGGCAACTTTAAGACTTGTGGACTTCAACTCCCAGAATTCCTCAAGGCCACTCAGCCTATTGAAACCCTTCTGCTCTGTTGAAACATTTCTTAATGCAGCTTTGCTGGCTGAGGAATTCTGGGAGTTGAAGTCCACAAGTCTTAAAGTTGCCAAGGTTGAGAACCCCTGATCTACATTCTCGATCTAATCGTAATAGCAGTTTGTTAATACCTGTGGAGGTTAAAGTTGGGTTTAAATTGAAACTGTATCTTGTTTTGGTTTTGGGTGGGTTTTGGGGGGGGGGGCGTTATTGTATGCTGTCTGGAGAGCTGCAGTGGAGAGCTACGTAAATTCTTTATACAAATAATTTCAGATTCTTAGAAATGTGTTTAAAACACTTTTTAATGAATTATTTTTTTCCAAATGTGCACTCACTCCAAGATTATCTCCCCCGTTCATATCATTTTCAGAGCATTTCTCTGCCCCGTAGGTCAGCTGACCATCAGCATTTAGCAATGTTACTAATATAAATATATCCATGTGCTGCTTACTGCTTAAGCTGGTTAAAATCCAAAACCAAACTCGATGTAAAGTATTCAGTTTGGGCCTTATCTATTTTCCTATTAGCGTATAAAAAGAAAATATTTTCCAGGTATTTTTCAGTTCAGAAGAAAGGACAAAGAATCATGTAAGGGTCTAAAATCTGGCCTTCCTGTTTCTTCGATTTTCTCACGTTGAAATGTATTGTTCTCATTTGAAACAACAACAATAATAGTGGAATCCTGAGAAAGCTAAATTCTGGACCTGTCATCGTGCAATAGGTGGAAAACTCTGGGATTATTTTGTTTGTTCTTTATCCTCGACACAGATCGTGATAGCGACGGTTCCTCCAAGTATTCACCTTACGAGGAGTCTGACGAGGACAGTGACAGCACTTCCGATTCAGAAAGCAGCTCCTCTTCCTCCTCTTCCTTGTCATCGTCGTCGTCTGATGAGGAGGAGGTGGAGAGCACGGAGGAAATAGAAGATTCTGCTACAGATAGCCATCCATCTGAATCATTGGGAAGCCTGGAACAGAGAATATGGCCAGGAACAGATACTGAGATGGGCAAGAAGAAGCCGGAAGCCGCTCTGCTTCAAGGTGAGATGTTGAGCTCTGGATTTCCATAGGACCGTGGTGGCGAACCTATGGCACGGGTGCCACAAGTGGCACGCAGAGCCCTCTATGTGGGCACGCGCACCATCACCCCAGTCCTAGGCCTTCAGCTGGGTTTTATAAAACCTTTTCGCTTTAGGCCTCCGCCGCCGTGTGGAAAAAAAAAAGGTTAAATCAATCAATTTCAACTTCTCGTGGGAAAAAAAAAGATCTTGCAAAGTTGGAATTGATTGATTGAACTTTTTAGTGCCACCCAGTCTGCCGTTACCACCACAGCCACACCCACCCAATGGGCCATGCCCACCCGGCACCCGATGATACATAAGTGGATTTGGGGTTTCAGTTTGGGCACTCGGTCTCTAAAAGGTTCACCAATCACTGCCATAGGAAAAGCCTATTGGTCCTTCTGGAATGCAGGTTGAGGAATGGGGAGGACAGCAGCTGCATCTTATCACAATTCCTGTACTTTGAAGCTAGGAGTAATTTACCTCAGGGCTTTGTACATATATGTGCTATCCCTAGATGACTTAAATCTGTTACTATGGTTTTTGGTGCCACTTTTCTGCCGATAACCCTCAGTTCTATCTTTCTGTACTAGACATTTCCAAGTGTTTTCCTTCTGATACTGCCTCGGAACCGATAACGTCCAAGGTTAACCCATCTCAACTTTGTTCCCCTGGCCTATTTCTATGAGCTTTCGGCATCCATTGAAAATGACACTGTCTGCTTTATTGATTGGAGATAAAGCCTTAATGTTTTCTTTGACATCTGCCTTTCCATCTTCAGCTTGCCACCAAATCGTGTGGCATCTTTTTTTTTTTTAACACTCCTACAGAAGTAAAGTCTGAACACAGCAGCTTTCTCCCACCGTACCATCCTTCGGGTCTTCCAGTGGTGCAACCATCCCTAAAACTGAGTCCGTTAACTTGGCCATTGCTTTTCCTCCTCTTCTTCTGTTTCCTTCCACCTTTTCTGGCATCAGAACCTTCTTCATAGAGTTAGATCTTCGCATATTGTAATGTGCCCCAAAGTAAGACAATTTGGAACGGGTCATTTGGGCCTCGAGCACGAGTCCTGGGTTTCTTTGTTCTGAGGATCCATTGGTTAATTGTCGTGCCTAGGAAATAATCAGACGAGAGGGAGGAGCCCCCAGTGGCTCTAATAACTCAAGCAGCTAAAAGTGGCATCAGGAAGTTTTGTACGTTCAGACTTGCAAGATTCTCTTAATGATGCCCTTGCAGTAAGGTAGGTTTAGCTCATCTAGTCGTGTTTTCTGTCTGGTTTACCCAGGAGGGCTGATAAACACCACATTCTTCCTGCCCTGCTCCTTTAATGCTCAGCTACAATCTAATATTAAAATCTCCATTTAAATAAATACACCAAATCTAGAATCCATAGGGCTGTTTCCAAAGGAGGCAGAGGAGGAGAGGTCCTGGGGCTTATGGAGCAAAGGAACTGGATGAGGCGGTCGGCAGGCCCAGAGGATGGGAGAGAGGCTCCAAGGGCAAAAAGGAACAGGTGGAAGAGACAGGATCAGAAAAAGGAAAGGAGGTGAAGTTGTCGTGCAGGAATACAGGCTAATTTGAGGGCTAATCCACATGGAGCTCCATTTTCATCTGTCCTCTTTGCCATCGTTCGCTCCCTAGAGACGAAAATGGACGATCTGTAACTTGAGCTGGCCACGAACAAGGAAAGTATATCGGAGGAGGTGATCCTTCAAGAGCCTTATGCAACGAAATTTCATTTTGATTATGCCGATTGACGTACATTCAAAGTGACAATAAAGTTGTTATTATTGTAAAGACTTTTTTTCCTTTTTGTCCCTTACCTACTACCTTCGTTTTCATTGACAAAAATAAGATTTTTTTTTTACATCTTTACATCTTTTTTTACCTAGCCCTTCAATCACTAACATAAAAATTTATCTCCCTCACACAGGCCACGTTGTTGAGGAGAAGCCTGCTCCTCAGAATGACACTTTGCTAGTCCCAGCAATAGAGGAGAAAGGTGTCTGGGCGGCACTAGAAGAGCGGACGCGACAAGAAAAACGACCTTCCTCACCCATCCCACTTCTGCCACCACCCAAGAAACGCCGGAAAACAGTCTCCTTCTCAGCTCCTGGTGAGGATGAAGGGGCCTTGGAGAAGCCACTTGAATTGGCATCCTTGGGTCTCCTCCCTCCACCGCCCCCACCCCCACCCCCTCCCCCTCCTCCTGTCCCCACAGAGGAAGCACAATCTCCATTCGTTCCTGTGGAACCCCTGCTACCACCCCAAGTGTCCTTAATCTCAGATGCCCCCGTTCCAGCTACTTGTCCCCTGCCTCCCGCAGCTTCCCTGGTAAAGTTAGCGGCTCCTGCCAGCCGCAGGCGGGAGCCCCCAAAAGCCAGTCAAAGAACGATCAGCAACCTGCCGGCAGACCACGCTTCTCTTGTGAAATGTTGGTCAGAGGATATGCCAACTGGCCGGTCCCGAAACCGTTCTCGCTCCCGAAGCTCAGAACATTTGAAGGCACCGCAGCCCCCGGAGGAAGACAGACTGCACACGCGCGAGCAAATGGGGGCCTCTTCACTCCTGGAGCTGGCCAATCAGCCTGACCTGGCTGTGTTAGCCGATGTGGCTCTCAAGATGCCCGCCGTTGTAGGCAGAGAAGGCTTGAAGGAGGCCTCGGATGAATCCGAGGCTCCAAAGCGCCTGCTTCCACCGCCCGTGTTCTCCCTTGAGGTCAGCAGCATCTTCATGGAGCACAACTACGCCATGGCGGTGCGTGCAGCACCAGTGACTGTCCCCCGGAAACAAGATGAGGCAACACTGCTAGGTGCTGCTGATCTGTTGCAGATGAACGTATATACTGAGCACATTGGCGAGGTTCTGGAGGCTCCTGAGGAGATAGTGGCAGATGCCAGTGAAGCCAGAACTGAATCTGAAGTGGGCGACCTTGTTGCACTGGCGCCTCCACCTCCTCAACCTATCGAAAAGCCTAAGGCCCCTGTCCCAGACCAGCAGCAGCCACAGACGAAGAAACCTCCACCTGGCCTAAAGGAGGAGGCCATAAAGGATCCAGGAGCATTGCCTTTAGGCCCAGAGAGTCTGTTCCCTTCTGGGAGTGAGGAGGAGGAGGAAGAGGATGACGAGAGCTTTGACAGCAGCGACGAAGGGGAGATTCGTAGGCGGTCTCTGCGCTCTCACTCACATAAGCACACCCCTGCCCATCCCCCGCTTCCACCCCCAGTCTTTGAGACGCGCAGCGAATTCGAACAGATGACCATCTTGTATGACATCTGGAATTCAGGGCTAGATGTGGAAGACATGAAATACTTGAGGCTGATGTACGAGCGCTTGCTGCATGAGGACAACAGCACAGACTGGCTGAATGACACCCATTGGGTCCAACACACCAATATCCTTCCTGAAATAGGTGTTAGATGTGTGGGTAGGCTCTGGCTCTCCTGAACCTGTATTGAAAGGGTGGCAACTTTGTGGCCTTTCCAGATGCTACAGCTTTAAGTTCTTCAGCACAGGCCAGGCTGGGAATCGTAGTTCAGGAATCTGGGGCACCACAGCTTCTCTATCCCACTTTAGCACTCTCTTATCGTACCATCAGCAGAGATTTCTGGGTATTCTATTTTGTTGAGTTCTTCTGGGAATCCTCTGTTGCACGTTCTTCCCTCTTTTGGTTCAAAGACCTGCAATGCTCTTAAGTAGAAAGAATGGCTGTTCACCAAGATTAAATCTGTAGTGTAAATACATCTAGGACTTTCCATCATTCCTATTACCTATTTTATTTAAAGGAAGTAGGAAAAGAGGTAATTGCGGATTCCCATTATTAGATTTCATTGGGCCAACCTAGTGGAATTCTGTCAAACATGGAGCCTGCAGCATAAAGAGTTTTATTTTCCAAAACAGCAGAGCCTTCGGTGTACGAGACTATACTTTAAATGGAATGATATTATCCCTCTTCCAGAGCTGCTATTCAGTCTCCTCTCACAGAGTTTTTTCAAAAGGCAACTGGACTTTTTTTTTTTGTTTTGTTTTTGTTTTGAGGAAGAAGAAGACGTTTCATTTCTCATGCAAGAAGCTTCATCAGTTTTGGCAGGATGGTGGGGGTGATGGAAGGAATCCAATCTTCCATTGCCCCTGCCATCTTTCCAGAACCGATGAAGCATTTTGAATGAGAAGCAAACCTTTTTCTTCCCCCCAAAGAAAAAAACAAACAAAAACAGTCTAGTTGCCTTTTGAAAAAGCCCCTTTGAGACAACTGTGACCTGGATGACTGAGAATCTCCACAGATGTTCAGTTGCAGCTGGCCATCGGGTTGTGTTTGATAGCAAATATTGAAACTGGGACTCCTTCTTAACTACCGTGCTAGGTTCAAAAGTTTTGGGCCAGCTAGTTAAAACAAACTGCAGAAGATACAGGTAGTCCTTATTTAGCAACAGTCTGAATTAGTGACCGTTCTCCCTTATGATGGTGATGAAAAAGTAACTTTTATGACTAACCCTTGCATTTAAGACCTTTGCGGGTTTGTGAAGCAAAAGGATCAGCTGAAGTAATATCATAAGCACAGCCACAGCGTCAGTTTGACCGCTTCACTTAACCAAGCAGTCAGTCCCAGTTGTGATTGTTAAATGGGGACTTGCCTGTGTTTCAAAAACTGTCTTAAAAATTAAAGATTGCAAGATTTCAGTTTTGTATATTCAGCTTTAACGCTGCCTAATTAGATTTAAAAACAGTTTGCGCTAGTACAATGGTTCTCAACCTGTGGGTCGGGACCCCATTTGGGGTCGAACGACCATTTCACAGGGGTCGCCAAACAACACAGTCCGCCATTTTTTCCCCCCTTTTCCTTAGCTGTGCTACTCCCTTTTATTCTATTGGCTTTTGAAAGCCAATAGAATAGACTCTCTTGAATAGAGTCTAATTCTATTGGCTTTCAAAAGCCAATAGGAATTGTCCAGGCTGTCTCTGCCCTGCTGAGCCCGCCAAAAGTCCCATTCTGCAAACGGTGCTGCACCAGTTGAGTAGTCCTCGACTTACGACCGGTTGAGTAGTCTCGACTTACGACCGGTTGGGGGTCGCGGCATTAAAAAGGTTGAGAACCACTGCACTAGTAAGATGCACAATGGGGAGGCTCTTCTTTTTGTGTGTGATTATTTACATATAAAGATATAAATTCTGGAGAGAAAAAAAAATGGCTGTTTTCTCTTCCCTTCTCGTTGGCCCAAGGCCTTTGAAGAGGGAGAGTCCAATGTAGAAAGTGTGTCTTCCTGCTCATATTTTTCTTCCAGTAGATGAGAATATATGTAACTCAGGATTAGAGTTCTTGGCGTGCTCTGAGGTTGTTGGTTGCTTGCTTGTAGACATTTCACCACCTATCTAACGTCATTGGTGCTAACGTCATTGTACTTCTCCTTGACTCACCTGCCTCCACTCACAAACATTGCAAATCCCAAACGGAAGAGGAAATCGTCTGAGCTGCGGGAACATCAAACAGGTTGTGCCCGTAGCGAGGGCTACTACCACATCAGTAAGAAGGAGAAGGACAAATACCTTGACATGTGCCCAGTCACGGTGCAGCAATTGGACATCGTTGATATCCAGGTTTGGCCCCTGTTCTTTTGATGTGCTCACCTGTTTAGCGTGTTCAATGCAGCCCTGACTCCAGAATAACCGATGGCACCGTTGAAACACAGCGAGCCTAGATAGACTATTACACATTATAAAGTCTAGGACAGGAGTAGGCAACCTTGGCTCTTTTATGACTGGTGGACTTCAGTTCTGGGAGTTGAAGTCCACGAGTCATAAAAGAGCCAAGATTGCCTACCCCTGATCTAGGACATCCACAGTGAAGAATTCTGCACTACAGCAGTTCTTACCTGGTGTGAGAAAAGTGCTCACAGTCATTTTCAGCTTTGTGGCTTAATTGGATTTTTCTTAATCTGTGTGAAATTTGCTACTGCCCCCTTTTATAATCATACTGACAAGTGAGGTGTTAAGATTAAGATGCCGAAGATCTACCACCAGCAACCTGGGAATGTTTCCCAGCAATTCTTCAATATTCTTAGGTTTCACAAGACATTGCTTAAAATTGTTAGTCATTTTCCTTTATTAATAAAGATTGGAACTGTTTTTAAAATTGGAAATCCAATAGCAGAAAGCAGAAGAATGGGGGGGGGGAATGCAAAAGTTTAGTTTACGTGAAGTGGAAACGTTGAGTATGCTCTCGTTTTATGTCGTATCATTGCTGTAAACTATTTAACCTAGTAAGTGTAGAACAAACAACCTTTGTTAATGTTATTTTATGCAATGGTATATGCATATGTTATACTATGTACTATAATTTAGAAGTGGTTATGGTTCATTTATGATATTTAGGTTTGTTTACACATTTTAGGTATTTAGATTTATTTATTTATAGGCTTATAGGTTATCATTTTCTAGGTTTATAGCTTATCAGTGTATATGAGTTAATCCTTACTGTTATGGAAAATAATATTCAAATTGCAAAATGTAGAAAGTATTACATATAGTTCTTGAGGCACTATCAGCATGGGAGATGATACGAAAAGCTCTAACTGCAAATTAATTGTTAGTTTATATATTTATTTTGGATCTTCTTGTGTGATAAATAGTGAGAATTTATGTGAGAAATTCTATATCAGCCTTGCTCCCACAGAGCAGTGTTTCTCAAACTTTAAGCGATGTGGACTTCAGCTCCCAAAATTCCCCAGATACATGCTTTGGGGGATTCTGGGAGTTAAAGTTCACACCGCTTAAAGTTGCTAAGATTAAGAAGAACTGTTCACCTTAAGGCAATGTCATCTTGCTAAGGATGGATACATTCATAATTCAAATAATGAGATTTTTTTTCCCCTGACTGCTTCCTTTGCATTCATTATATCTAACAAGCTTGTGGTGCCTTCCCAGGGCACCAACCGCATCTTGTCAGAACGACGATCTGAACAAAGGCGCCTGCTGAGTGCCATCGGCACCTCTGCCATCCTCGATAGTGACCTTCTGAAACTTAATCAGCTGAAGGTACCAGAGTGATTTTATTAAGCAAATTGAAAAAAAAAAAAAGTGGAACAGAAGGTATCAGCTATGGTGGGAGCGTTATAGATGGGGAAAAAAACTGAGAGTAACTGGTTTAATGATATGATGATGCTTTCCATTGAGACCTGGGATGTATTAAAGCATTTTTTTATTTTATTTTAGCAGGTGTAAACAGTGATAGTACTATAAATAACTCCCTTCCCCTTTTATTTTATATACTTTATTTTATAATGGGCCAAAATTGAAGATGATGATGATAATGATGATGATGATGATGATGATGATAATAATAATAGTAATAATAATAATAATAATAATAATAATAATAATAATAATAATAATAATAATAATAATAATAATAATAAAGTTGGAAGGGACCTTGGAGGTCATCGAGTCCAACCTCCTGCTCAGGCAGGAAACGCTATACCATTTCAGACAAATGGCTGTCCAGTCTCTTCTTAAAAACTTCCAGTGTTGGAACATTCACCGCTTCTGGAGGCAGGTTGTTCCACTGGTTAATTGTTCTCAGTGTCAGGAAGTTTCTCCTTAGTTCTAGTTGCTTCTCTCCTTGATTAATTTCTATCCGTTGCTTCTTGTCCTGCCTTCAGGTACTTTGGAAAATAGCTTCACTCTCTCTTCTTTGTGGCAGCCCCTGAGATATTGGAACACTGCTATCATGTCATCCCCTCATCCTTCTCTTCATTAAACTAGACATACCCAATTCTAGTAGCCGTTCCTTATATGTTTTAACCTCCAGTCCCCTAATCATCTTTGTTGCTCTTCTCTGCACTCTTTCTAGAGTCTCAACATCTTTTTTACATCGCGGTGACCAAAACTGGATGCAGTATTCCAAGTGTGGCCTTACCAAGGCATTGTAAAGTGGTATTAACACTTCACGTGATCTTGATTCTATCCCTCTGTTAATGCAGCGTAGCACCGTGTTGGCCTTTTTGGGCAGTTGCAGCACACGGCTGGCTCGTGATTGTCCACTAGGACTCCGATGCGCTTTCTTTTTTGTGCAACGTCTCTTCAGAATTTTGAGGACTGATCAATCTATGTTTTTTTTAAAAAAACGATAAAACCATAAATAATAACCAGTTCACCTGCTGTTTTTTGTGCACATAGCAGTTTCTCTCAAGCAGCAGAATAAAGAACTTAACACTCCACTCCTGGGCTTTCCCTCTTCCTTGTCTTCCCTGCAGTTCCGGAAAAAGAAACTCCGGTTTGGACGGAGTCGAATTCACGAGTGGGGCCTTTTCGCAATGGAACCAATCGCTGCCGACGAAATGGTCATTGAATACGTGGGTCAGAACATCCGCCAGGTAAGAAAAAGCAGGTGGAGCTTTGTAAGTCTTCCATTTTTAAAAAACCTTTATCAGTCCTATCAGATACAACAATACGATGGAGATTTTTTTAATAACAAGTAATTTACCTTAAGGTCAAAACTGTTGCTGTAAAATGAGCACTTTTGATGTGCGCTGTTTTTAATACATTAATTTCATTTAATTTTGAAGAAAAGACAAGTTCTAATGCTGGTAACATTTACAGCTGAACATTTGTAATTAATATTGATAGAATATCCCTATTCTTTTTATTTTGTTCTCTCTTAGCTGCATTTAATACTCTAAAGCCCCTATGTAAGAGAATATTAAGAATCTATTATATAAATATCACTGAATTAAAATAACACACTATACCAAAAGTTGGAAGATGGAACACTAGATGGTTAATATGGTTAGATTTAATAGTATGTGCTCATCCTATTATCAACATTCTATGGAAATACTTTTAGTTTCTACAAATGTCACTCATTTATGTGTTTTTTTTTCTGGTTTTAATAGCACTGTTGTACTTTTGGTTATTTTTCATCGTATTTTCTAATTAGCAGGTAATAGCCATTTCTAAAAGTTTTGCAAACAGAGGCCTTTTCTTTTTCGGTCCAGTTGTGTAGTAGAGAACTGGCAATGATATGCAGAGCAGAGTTTTTCATGATTTAATCCTTGTATTTTTCAGGTTTCTACTTTTGTGAATGTTTCTTTTCTGTTTATTGCTTGAATTTTAGCTTATTTAAAAGTTTAGGGCATCTTGATTCAGTTTTTGGTATGAAAAATCAGATCATCATCATTCAACAATTTGCTGCTGAATGTTGGTGCTGTGAGTTTGTGGGCCGAATTAGGATCCCCACCCATGGAGTAGTCCAAGCCATGCTCCCAGCCTCAGTCCACAGCTTTTATTTTCTTCAAGCGAGATGCTAAACCTTATAAAGTTAAGGAAGTCCCAATCCTTTTCTATATATGAGCCCTTTAAAAACAAAACATAAAAGTACTCAGGCTTTGCATGGTTTCTAAGGTAGCTAATGCCATAGTTACAGACTCTTTTTTCTCTCTCTCTGATGGTTCCAATTGTGATATTTCAAGAGAACTATTGGACTTCTGTTTGGAAGGTGACCTCTTCACTTGCCTGTCTCCTACTTTGTTATTAAATTACCTATTGTTTTTTTTAATAAATGGTGAAAATATGCAGTGGCTTAGAGTAGATGAAACAGGAGAATATAGTGAAATTGAGGGGAATTTGACCTGAGTTTGTTCCGTTAAAGCTCTTAATGTTGGTCTGTGGGAGAGGCACATGCAGCTGATTGGCACTAGAGGGTGCTGTGACGGCTACATGGAACAGCCCTGCTTTTTCAGTGCTGAGAGCTTATTTGGACAGTGGATTGAATAAATGCCAGCTGATTTTTGCATCCACCTGAATGAAAGCATAGAAAGCGCTAGTTTGAAGACTGCGCAGTTGCAGTTTGCAGTCCAATGACTGCTCCCTTCCCGTCCCTTCCCTTCCCCCAAGAGAGGAGGCCTCACTTCCATTCTGAGTCTCTACTATGCTCATTCCTCTTCAAAGATGGTGGCAGATATGCGTGAGAAGCGGTACGCCCAGGAAGGTATTGGGAGCAGCTACCTTTTCCGTGTGGACCACGACACAATCATCGACGCTACCAAGTGTGGCAATCTGGCTCGTTTCATCAATCATTGCTGCACGGTGAGTTGCGTGGGGATGGTTCCTTATTGTGAGTCTTGCTGCTCTCTCTTCTGTGCCAAGTTTAGCCTTTTACAGAGAACATCTTGGATGGGCACATGGCTGCCTGCACCCATGAGAGAGAGGGGGAGAGAGAAATGGCTCCTTCAATAGCCTTTACTGTATTGACACTTCTCAGAATAGGACAGCCTGTTCCGCATTCTGCCTAATAGCATTTAAAGCCTTGCCAGGGTTAGGACTCCAGGTGTCTATCTCAGGGCTTTTCAGTCAGTGGTATGGGTACCACTGGCACCTGGCAGGTGGTACGCAACCATCCTAGAAAAGTGGCAGCGGGGGAGGGAAATGAACTGAACCAGTGGCAGCACCGCATAAGCCTGAGCAAGAGACGGCTAGAGCTGCAGGGCTGTCAGGGCTCAGCAGAAGCCCCAGGATCAGCGCCAGGCTCCAGCTGGAGCTCGGCGCTGATCCTGGCACTTCTGCTGAGCCCAGAAGAAGCGCCGGTCAGCTGGAATGTTGCAGCATCTCCAGGGTCTTGTGATTTACATTCATATTTATGACAGTCACAATGTCCCAGAGTCATGTGAAGTGACCAAAACCTGCTGCAACCACCCAGCAGATGGGGGAATAAAAACCAAACACCCCCCCACCCCACCCCTGCTGCCAATCCTCAACAGAAATGCTCACAACAATGAAAACCTCGGACAGGAGGAAGAGCGCGGCCAGGCGGGCAGGCAGGTGTCTTGCTCAGCTGTGGCTTGGGGGGCACTTTTTTCAGTGCCATTGTAACTTCGAACAGTCACTAAGCGAAATGTTGTAAGTTGAGGACTATCAGTACTTCATTACTTTTTTCCTTTTTTTTTTTTTTTTTGGTCATCAAGTTTTTGACACCTTTGCTAGGCAACTGGTGGTACTCGGATAGTGCCATATCCTAAACGTGGTACAATGGGTGAAAAGGTTGAAAAGCCCTGGTCTATCCGAACCACCAAGAAATGTCTTGGGACCGTGGCGTTAAGGGAGAAGGGAAGAGCCCTCGTGAGCTCATTTGCAGAATGCTGATCAATCGGGAATGTGCGCTTCCCTTACCACGTCCCTTGTTCCCAGCATCTTTTTGTTTCAGTCCTAAATGGACTTAGGGTTCCCTTGCCTTTCGAATACCACGGCGGCCGCGGAATGGCGTTTGAAAGGTGCTTGCGTTAGCAAGAGGTGGCCTGGTGCCGTCGTTAAGAGCCTCCCGCTCAGCTCTGTCTTTCCTTTCTTTAGCCCAACTGCTATGCCAAAGTCATCACCATAGAGTCCCAGAAGAAGATCGTCATCTACTCCAAGCAGCCCATCAGCGTCAATGAGGAGATTACATACGACTACAAGTTCCCAATTGAAGAGAACAAGATTCCCTGCTTATGTGGCACAGAGAACTGTCGGGGGACCCTGAATTGAAAAGAAGCCCGGCATTCCTATTTATTTTGTTTGCTCAGCCCATTTTTCACCCCGGTCGTTTAGCATCTCTTCCCACAAAGCCGCCATGGGAAAGTTCTCCAGTCGCCTTAAGAACCATCTGGAATCCTTTAGAGGTTTTCCATTTGCTTCTCCTCAGGTTCCTAATCAGTGAGAAATTTCCTTTTTTCTTCCAGTCAGTCAGAAACAGTCCTCTCCTTCTCTTTTACACGGATGTTTGGTCATTTTTTGATCCAATCCCCAAAAAACAGGTAGCCGTTAGACACCCTCTCCGTCCTTGTATTCAGAACAGCTTTAAGCTTTTCTCCAAGTAACTTCCGCTTTTCAATTTGGCTAAAAGATTTGAGTTTCCTGTGCACGGAAGGGTACGCTAAACAGAATGGATTCCCTTCATTTTAAGGATCTCCAGAGTGCTAAGGGTCAGTTAATAAAACAGTAGGAATTGCAGGGTCCAAGAAAAACCTATGAGGCCATACAATGTCCGATGTTCTTGAAGGGCATTAATGGTACCCATAGCTAAGAGTTGATGAAGCCTTGCAATTTCATAGTTGCATTTTCTTAAACCATTGGATTCTTTTATAAAAACATTCTAGGTTTATTGAGATGAATACGAGAACAGTTCCTTTCCTAAACGGATTTGTTCTGCTATTTAGAGTTTTCCCTGAACCCATGCTAGATATAGCCAAGATTACCCAGGGATGATCACTTTCCAGTTTCGTTTGGCTATATTTTTTTAAACCTGAGCAAAGATTTGAAACTTCTCTAGCTTCAGATGATTTGTTCCTAATCCCATCTGCCATTTGTTCTTCCAACCACACACTTAAGGTTACAATAGCAAAGATTCTGAAAAGTAATTGTATGGTGCCATTCAGATTGAACCTCCTTTTCCTTGCGTAGTGTCTGGGGGGAGGGGAAATCCAGAACCCATATAGATTAAGGGAGCTGTTTCTTTGCTACAGTTATGGCCTCAGCCATCTGGCTCATAGCAAAGGCTAAGACCTTACCCCAATCCCCCTCCTTCCATATTTTTTCTTAGGAGAAGAAAGTTGTGTACATATCTAGTCCAGATGGATTGGCTGTTTCTTGTAGAAACACATGTTTACTGGTATGTAAATATTTTATTTTTGTTGTCCACTTCATACTGAAAAGAGAGCTGTAAATAATGTTTCATTGTATTTCCTTCTCCTGCTTTTCTCTATATTTGCATCGTGCCACTGTTCTCTTTTAATGCAACGTGGGATTTTTTTTTCTTTCTTTCTTATCCTGGAGAAAATGGATGGAGTATATTGGAGGTCAGAAATGTGTAATTTCACTAGCCACTTACATGGGAGTCCGTTAAAACAAAAGACTTTAGGCACACCGAGCTATTTTAGCAGGATTTACTGTTTTTTAAAATGTCCACCATTCTGGTTGTTTTTTGTGTAAGCGTGTGTGTTTCTGAGCTGCTGTACTGAGATGGCCGTTCTGTTGAGGGCATTTTTTTCCTCTCAGTGGACTGCCCAGAGTTAAGGTATATTGAATGACTTCCAATTTCCCCAACCTGAATGTCTGAACATACATGGCAGAGAGAATGACACCTTCTCTACAAATTCACTTTTAACAGCGGGGGTATAAGTGGGAAAGAGGCGTGGATAAGTTTCGGATGGGATGCCCAAATCCTTGTTGCTCTGCCATGTCGAAACACACACACACACACACACACACACACAAAAACTCACTGAGAAGATGATTTGATTCCTTATCCTGGCCTTTGGGAAAAGCCGAAAAGAGCAGGATGGGGAAAGTGTGAGAGGCAGTCTCAGTTGCTGGGATGAGCGTTACTTAACAACTCCTACCTGATTGTGTCCGTTTCCAAAGGCAAGCTTTATAACGTTGGTTTGTCAGCTCCCCCACCGTTTTTTGCCCATCCCAGTAAGCCGATTGCAGAGACGAACCTGTTTAGGTAGTGAGAGTAGGAGCTGTAGATCAGTTTTTTTAAAGTGTGTCCCATTCATTTCTTCGTCCTGAAAATGGCTCCTTCCTCGTGTAGTTGTTGTTTAGTAGATAAGTTGGGACCGTAGTTCTGATTAAAGTTTTATTTCCACGTTTGAAGGCTCGTGAAGGAGATAGTTAAGTGGCATCTTCTCACCGCACACTGAATGCTGGTCAGTGTTTTATGCTGATGAAGGTGTCTTTGTGTTTCATTTTTGTGGAAGTCTGCTCCAACTTGGTTTGGGCCCTTGGAGACGAAGCTTCCACAGTTTGGGATCTTTTTAGATTGTTTCTTTCACAAGATGCACTAGATCAGGGCTAGGCAACCTTGGCTCTTTTATGACTCGTGGACTTCAACTCCCAGAATTCCTGAGCCAGCATAGCATAGCTGGCTCAGGAATTCTGGGAGTTGAAGTCCACGAGTCATAAAAGAGCCAAGGTTGCCTAGCCCTGCACTAGATAAATAGTTTACACCACCTCTAAAAGATTGTTTGGGGGTCTTAATTTTCTTCTGATAGTCTTAACCAGCTAAAGAAGCACAAGAAAACCCATTGTCTTGCTTTATAGGCTTTATAACTTAAAGAGACCAAAGGAAAATTTGGGGGGGGGTGGGGGGGCTGGAGTTTGTATTTGCAATGGAAGCCTTGCACAGACTTGCCAAACTCAGCTGGGTAACTTTTTGCTTCTCATTTCATGTGGTTTTGTTGTCTGCATTTTCCCCCATGCAATGTTCCTATATATATTGAAAATAAGGAAGTTGCGGTAACCCATTTTAGCAAGGAGAAGTGGAAAGGCTAAATCACCTGAGAAAAGGGTATGGATGAATTGGTGGAGAAATAGTGTAAACATTCACACAAATATGTAGCTTCATAGTTGTCTCAGTCCTAACCCACCAATCTCTCCAGGCCCTGGCTTTGCTGCCGAGGACTGACTCCGATACCACATTCTGTAATAGCGGAATTCATTGCTTTGTTTTAACGACATCCTTCCAGATATTTGTGCCTGGGTGATTCTGCGACTGCTTTCTGACTGGCCCCGAGAATCTTACCAAGAAACAGTTCCAACCATTTTCCCTTTTACTATTTCGTACTTTCCAAATGTGATTTTTCTCTGCTCAGATGGCTGTGCACTTGTACTAGGGACAAAAGCGTAACCTACATGACTAAATTGTGAATTAAAGCAGTTATAGTTGGAATCACCCATTCCATCTAGCCCATTCCTCGAGTCTCTGTGTAAACTGACAGAATTTTAGCTTTGTTCTGTGGTGCTTTTCTTTGGGATTTTGTTATAAATATCCATCCATGGGCCAGTCGGTTTTGAACATCATTGTGTAAAATGTCTCATGGGAAATTAGAGTCTTGAAATTCCTTCTGAATTGTGAAGCCATTAGATAAGGCCTGGATAAGTTCTAGCTTTTGCTCGAAACTTTGGTAAAATAATATCAGTTTAACGTTGTTCTGCTAATTCCAAAGAAAGCTGCCTCACACACATTCCTTCAATATTTAAAAGTTTAACTGCACAATTTTTCTAAACTGAGACACATTTTTAACAGCTGACTAAATTGCACCAAATTATTATGATACATCAAACTTCTGCTTTTTATTGGATTTAAATATTTTCCTCTGAAACTTTTGCATCAAAGAACCACAGAATATTGAATTCCTATGTTTTTTGGGGGGAAAAATGGCTTTTTTAAAAAGAATGTGTCTCCCCTTATTTTAGACTTGCAGGTAAAATACCTACCAGAGCTAGCCAGAAGATTACAGCTGGGAAAAAAAACTTATTTACTTTGCATCGGTAAAAATATGCAAAAGAACCTTGCTCAGTGGGTTTTATTACAATACATCATCATTAGTTTATTTTTTTTTATTTTTCAAATAGCGATGTCTGATTGTGTTCTTGAGTCATGCAAAAAAAACAACCCCAATCCACACTTGTTTTTCTGCATATCCTAGCCTTAGTGTTCCAGATGCTCAATTTATTTACTCATGGTGGCTAGTTTTCTAGATGGATCATGTACTTACCATAGCCATCCTATTAGCAAGAAGTCTCCTCCTCCAACTGCCTCCCATTTAATTACATATGTGCCTTTTTAAAATAGTGGGAAGTTTTCATTTACTCTCACCTGTTCATTGTGGAAAGTAGACATTTTGGTTCCTGTGTGTGTTTCTCTTCTTGCCAAAATCTGCATTGTCTGAACTGATCTACGCAATCACCTTTACGGTGGTAATTTCCTGCATCCAGTTTAGCCACATACCTCCTCCTGATAGGGTGGATGAGACAGTTTTAAATGTTCAATAAAGCAATGAAACCTGTGTAAATTATTCTATATGTTTTTATCAAGACTCTGAATTTGGCTTCTCCCTTTCTCCCCCACTCCCTCACTTCCTCCCCCACTCTCTACAAGTTGACTCCTGGCCAACTTGTAAAGCTTACTGTTTTGTTACTCATTTTTCTTCACATGTGGGATTATTTTTTTCCTGTGTACATATATGTAAAAAGAAAACAAGAAAAAAAAATAGATATACAAAAAAAAAATTATACCAGAGAGGATTAAGCTATTTAATCATCTCTAGCAGCAAGGGCAGCTTGCCTGGGGTTTTGTGTTTTAACACAACGGATGGAAATGTATGGACGTGGATGGATAGACTTTCCCCCTCCCCCCCCCTTTCCTAGCTGCCCAGTGGATGGATGTTTTTTTTTTTTTAATTTGCATACCTATTCTGTCTATATAAATATTATATATATAGATATATATAAATATATAAATATATTTTCGTTTGATCTTACTGGCTTCCTACTTGTAAATATGTTAATAATTTGTGGATTCATTACTTGGTGCCAGATAGCACATTTTTATAAAAGTCATTAAACTTTTATTGTACAAAAATGTATGCCTTTTATCCTTATTTCTATGCTCTGGATCTGGAAATATTTCAAATTTCAGAAACAATGCTGAAAATTCTATTAGCGGGCTCCAAAGTATATCAAGGCGGCGTGATGGTGAACTACAGGTAGAAATAACTCGATTGAAGTCACTTCAGCTGAGAGGTTCACTGTGTTTTTTAACGTCTTTTAGTCACAGGTCCCTCTAGGCTATTATAAGGGGGGAAAAGGCCAAGCTTGAAAATTAAATTCTCACGAAACAACAACAGAAGATCGTTCAACTGATTTATCTTTCTCTTAAAAAGAATTCTAGGAATCATCCATCCAGGTTTGTCTTCTCTTACTAGTGCATAATGTGTCTGCACCGGCATTGGTTGTTTGCAAGTCATGACAAGTCTGAACATCAATCAGTTCTACGCTAATTAAATCACAACGTTTTGGAGAAAAATGCAATTTATTTGTCTGCAATGCTGGCATGTTTAATTAACTGTAGCTACTTTAGAAATGTTCTGTCTGATTATAGTGAATTCTGTCATGGAAATTAGAAAGCTTTTTCAAAGCACACTATGCTGAGAAATAACAACTTAAAAAACTTTTTCAGGCCGTGTGTGAGAAGGGCCAAGCTTAGAAAAGTCCACATATATCTAACGATACCAGCTTATTATAGCAATAGCAATAGCACATAGTCTTACATAACGCTTCATAGTGCTTTACGGCCCTCTCTAAGTAAGCGGTTTACAGAGACAGCATATTTTCCCCCAGCTATCTGGGTCCTCATTTCACCAACCTTGGAAGGGTGGAAGGCTGAGTCAAACTTGAGGTGAGAATCAAACTGCTGGCAGTCGGCAGAGTTAACCTGCAATACTGCATTCTAACCACTGCACCCCAATGGCTCTTATATACCATATTACACTACATTATTATTACAATAAGTGCTCATTTTGAAACATCTCTAGTAGTGCACAGAACAGGAAAAACAACAGAATCCTGCAAATCATGAAAAAAAAAACCCTATAAAACTAATGGCACCCCATGCTAACATTGCCCCATGTATCATTTTGGTGAGCTCCAGCCTCACTACACACCAACACTTAAGGAAACAACCAGCTCTTCAAGGCCTTCTGTGGAAGGCTGGGGGGCAGGATGGTGACTGTCATCTTTGTGATCCACAGGGCAAGGGCGTCTATGGAGAAAGGACACTGGAAAGGGCACTGGAGTAGGTCAACTCTATCTGACCTGGTGGGATAAGCAGATATTTTTATGAAAGGCAGTCCTGCAAGTCCATGCCATGTACGACTTTAAAGGTGATGACCAGCACTTTGAATTGCACCCCAAAAAAATAGCAATAGCACTTAGACTTACATACTGCTTCGTGGTGCTTTACACCCCTCTCTAAGCAGTTTACAAAGTCAGCCTATTGCCCCCAATAATCTGGGTACTCATTTTACCGACCTCAGAAGCATGGAAGGCCGAGTCAACCTTGTGAAAGGTGAAAATCGAACTGCTGGCAGTCGGCAGAATTAGCCTGCAATGCTGCACTCTAAACCACTGCACCACCATGGCTCTAAGAAACTGGAAGTTGATGCAATTCTCATAGCAGTGATTATAATATGGGTGAATGAAGGGACACCGAGAACTGTGTGTGTCCCCACGTTTTGGACCACATGAAGTTTCCGGATGGTCTTCAAGAGCAGCCTCGTGCAGAACACATTGCAGTAATCCAACTGGAGAGTAACCACAAACAAAGTGTCGCAGTCCAGGAATGGCCACCACTGGTGCACAAGACGGATCTGTGTAAAGGGCCCCCTTAATCACAGCTGCCTCCTGCTCCTCAAATGGGAGCCCTGAGTACAAGAAGACCCTAAATTACACAACAGAGGTGTGTGAGAAGTGCTACCCCAACAAGAACCAAAAATGGACACATTACTGGACACCGAAGGCCCCAAAAGCCACAGGACTGGGTCTCGCTATGGTTGAGTCCAAATCAACTCCTCTCCATCCAAACCTTTATAGCTTCCAGGAACTGAGCCAGCACCGCAATCATGTCGTTTAGCCAACCAGATGTCTAAGTGGGCATCATGAAGATGCCCACACTGCATTCTGTGCCCCTAGATCGGGTCCCCAACCCCTGGTCCGTGGACAGGCATCGGGCCGCAGCATGGCAGCAACCATGCCGCACAAACAAGCAAAGCTCCATCTGCGGGATGCAGGCAGCACACAAAACCACGCCCCCTCCGGTCCGCGGAAAAACCTCTCACCATGTAACCAGTCCCTGGTGCCCAAAAGGTTGGGGACCCCTGCCCTAGATAACCTCTCCCAGCAGCCTCATGTACATATAAAAAGATAAGATAAGATAACATAAGATAAGATAAACCTTTATTGTCATTTTTATACTTGAGCACAACGGCACACATCAAAAATGAAATTTAGTTGCCCGCTCTCAAAGTGAAACACATACATAACACAAACCTAAACATACTATGAACAACGTATGTATAGACCCACATCCTTACATATACGTAGCAAATAAATATTAAATATTGTCCATCTTGAATACATAACGGAAGGAGGAAGCTTGAGAGTTCGCGAGGTTAATGCTGTAGGGAATGAAACTCTGGCTGAATCTGGATGTTCTGCTTCCGATACCCCTAAAGGAGAGACTCAAGCACCCCACTCTCCAGGGGCCTAGAACTCAATCTCTCCCTCCCCCAGCATCACAAAGGGAAAAGGCGAAGCAGCACAACACAATGTGTTGCTTTTTGCAGATAGGCACGAATATTTCACATTATCTAAAATTATATGGAAATAAGAGGCTAAAATCCTTCAACCAGCAGGGAAGTATAGGTCCTTGATTTACAACATTCAGTGACCGTTTGAAGTGCCAGTGGCACTGAAAAAAAGTGACTTATGGGACTGTTTTCACACTTAAAATCATTGTAGCATCCCCAGGGTCACGTGATCAAGATGAAGACACTTGGCAACTGACTCATATTTATGACGGTTGCAGTGTCCATGGGTCATGTGATCCGCGTTTGTGACCTTCTGACAAGCCCAATCAATGGGGAAGCCAGATTCACTTAACAACCGTGATACTAACTTAACAACTGCCGTGATTCACTTAACAACTGTGGCAAGAAAGGTCGTCAAATGAGGCAAAACTCACGTAACAACTACCTCACTTAGCAAGAGAAATTTGGGGCTCAATTTGGTCGTAAGTCGAGAACTACCTGTAACAGTGTGGTCAGAACAAACGAGGCCATTTATACCCGGCCATTCTTACTGACTTTCATTACACTTATATGAATTTCAGATGATATTCTCTTTATTTATTTATTTACTCGCCCGCTTCTGCCTCCTCTTTTTAAAACAGCTTTGATATCTCCCACTTTAAAAAAAAAAAAAACTTACAGAATCATTTTTCATGCCCATCTACAGATTTCAAGCAGGCAAGCTTAAATAAAACAGAAAGATCCTGGGGAAAGGAAAAGGAAAAGGGGTCATGGAAAATGCCAATTGATCTTCAGGGTGTGTGTGTGTGTGTGTGTGTGTGTGTTGCATGTATTTTCAGGAACTTTGCATATATTTCTTTATCTTTTTTTCTCATTGCTTCACAGACCATTCTAAATTTTGCTAAACCATCTGCTAAATCAGTGGTTCTCAACCTGTGGGTCGGGACTCTACTCTACTCTAGTCCATATTCTCTATTCTATTCTATTCTATTCTATTCTATTCTATTCTATTCTATTCTATTCTATTCTATTCTATTCTATTCTATACCATTCCATTCCATTCCATTCCATTCCATTCTTCACAAGCAGTCTTCATCCCAAGCTATTTTAAACCTAAATCAGGCAGTTGTTCCTTCTGGGCTGTTTCAGCAAGGATTAGGATGGTATTTCTTCTCCTATTTTAGATCCATATCTTCTTGCTTCATTCCTCTCTCTCCTTTAGGCCAGAAATGTCACGTCTCATTATTGGCAGAGTACTGTTTACCTGGGGGGCATTTTCCTTGCCTACGCTATCCTTGCACGTGTGCTCATGTACATACACAGAGGGGGGGGGGGGAGAGAGAGAGAGAGAGAGAGAGAGAGAGAGAGAGAGAGAGAGAGAGAGAGAGAGAGAGAGAGAGAGATATGCAGGTGCAAATAAATAAAGTCTGTAAAATATAGTTCATGTAGCAAACATTTGAAGCACAGATACCAGTGAGGAACAATGAGGTAGTCGTGAATAGACGTGTAACAGCTAATCCTGGCAAAGTCATGAAATACATGCCAGTTCATAATTTTTCTATTTCCTTTTTGTCATCCTTTGATCTCTCTAGGTTTCTTCTCTCTCTTTTCTCCCCCCGACCCCCCATACTTATAATCCTTGCCTCATTGCAGCTGTCCTTAGCAAAGCAGGGAGGCATTTCCTTTGCAAATTTTGAGTCACTTTCATATTCTGTGAGGTTACCAAACATCTAATGCCTGATACCTTTATATCCAGAATGCAGAAAATGTCACAAATTCCCCCCAAAGTGCTTTTTCAAAAGGCGAGCTGGGACTGGGCACTAACTAACAAAATGAAATTCAATGGTGAAAAAAGCAAGGTTCTACATTTAGGCAAGAAAAACCAAATGTACAAGTACAGCATAGGTGGCACCATGCTCAATAGTAGTAACTGTGAGAGGGACCTCGGAGTCCTAGTAGACAATCACCTAAATATGAGCCAGCAGTGTGCTGCAGCTGCCAAAAAGGCCAACACAGTGCTAGGCTGCATTAACAGAGGGATAGAATCAAGATCACGTGAAGTATTAATACCACTCTTCAATGCCTTGGTAAGGCCACACTTGGAATACTGCATCCAGTTTTGGTCACCACGATGTAAAAAAGATGTTGAGACTCTAGAAAGAGTACAGAGAAGAGCAAAAAAGATGATTAGGGGACTGGAGGCTAAAACATATAAGGAACGGTTGCGAGAATTGGGTATGTCTAGTTGAACGAAGAGAAGGACAAGGGGGGACAT